ACTAGCAACTTATCAAGTGCAGTATTTGCCTCTGAATAGTAGTGGAAAACAAGTATAGAAAATGGAAATACTTAAGTTAAGTACCTGAAAAACACACAAAAGGTACAGTGAGGTAATGTGTACAGCCACAGCATTAAGACTCCTGCCTGCTGAGGGTGAAAGGCTTGAATTATAAAGTATTGTGTTGGGACATAATGTAACAAGGGTGAGAGAGGGCAAAAAAGTGCTGGGAAGCGATCTCGCTGTTTGTTTTAACAATGGAAAAATAAAGACAGAAAATTTGCTGGCACAAGTTACTGGCACAACACAAGTTAGTGCCGCTGCGCTCTCCGGAAACTGACTTGACTCATTTGTGTTGATGTGCGCATGCCCTCTCCATATGAGCGGTCCATGTGAGTTATTGGTGTGAAAATATATCACACACACTCACACAGATCTCTGATCACTTCCACCGCTCTGGCCTTTGTTACAGATCTCTACATAAACTATGGGTGGTTGGATGGAGTTCACACACATCTGCACATATGGACACAGATACACAAACACTGCTACCCAACAGGAAAAATGGCTCTTTTTAAGCGTCAGTGTGTGAAACTTGATCATCTCTGCTGCTAAAATGAAATAATGTGCTGTCCATGTTAATTGCTGGTATGATTAATCTGCTGTTGTTTCACAGTAACTTCATACATGCATCATACCCGCACATAACAGGAGGCTGCCTCTTACACTTACATAAGCTATTAGGATTGATTTCATCATGATGACTCGACCAGGAAGGATTACCCAGTTTTAAATTAACACACTGCATCATTTAATTGAGCAGATGTTTTAAAGTTAAAAACAGCAATGCTTTAATGTGCCTCCACTTTGGGATTTCTAACGAAGTCGGTGACAAAGATGAACAGAGTCACAGGCAAACAAACACAAATGTGCACACACTCCTCCGTACGCTTGGTCCACCTGTGTGTAATTAACAGCAGGCATTTCCCGTCAGGAGGGCCGCGCAGTGCCAGGCAGACTGGGAATCTGACTGGGAGAGTGAGCCCCATGGGTAATGGGCTTCCCAAAATTCCCAGCGAGACAACGACACAACCAACAAGACGCCATGGAAACCAACACCGGGGGCGACTACTGGTCACCATAGCAACCAGGCAGAGGGGGTCACACAATAGCAGGACAGAGTGTCTCACAGAGCATGATGTATACTGCTCATACATAGAGCTTGCACATGCTAATGCGTCATGTGAGCTGCACATCATGCTAAAGACCAGCTCTGATGAAACTATCAGCTCACACAACCTGAGCTCTGGAATGACACGGGTGTATCTGTATCAGATGATGAGAGTTTACAAAGGCTAAACCACAAATCAGCAACAGAACCGTAAGTTGTTTTATCTCAGCAGCTGTGGAGAGAGTCAATAATCTGACCCACCACAGGAGGCCGCTATATAACACAAGGACTGACTTGGAGTCTTGTAACATGCATCACTGATGAAAATCACATCTTTGACTTAAGGAAAAGTAGCAACACTACAGTCTGAAAATACTCTGTTGCAAGTAAAAGTCCTGCATTCAAACAAAGCTACAGTTGTTAACTTTTACATATAAAGAGCTTTTCTAAGAATTGGTTAAACTGTCACTGTATTCACACAGCATTACATGAGACAGATATCTGTGACAAAAATCTACTCCTCTGTGCTTCTAATGGCCTCACTGCATATGAACAAAAACAGCCGGAGCCGAGGACTCTCTAACGCAGCTGTCAATCATGTCATGATCTGCTGTCAAACTGTCAAACTAACTGATCAAATATGAATCAAGACTCTGTTACTGCATTGCTTATTTATCACCTCAAAGCTTTTACAAACACATTTTAATGTACTGTTGAGCTGTAAAATGAGAAAACAGTTCTGGCAGTGCTTGGTACCTTGGTCGACTGTTTCCAACATGGCAGCCAGGTCACAATCATTCTCATTTTACAGCTAAACAGTACACTAAAATATGTTTCTGAAAACATTTCAGGTGAGAAATAGACAATGCATCAACAGAATCTTGAATCATATTTGATCAGGGCTGCCTAGTTTGACAGTTTGATGACAGCTGCTTTACAGGCTCCACAGCTCTGATTGGTTGTTTTTGATAAGCCGCAGTCAATTCTACCAAATGCCATTAAGGTAAGGTAAAACTTTAATGTCCCCGAGGGGCAATTTGGGATACAGACAGTAGTCATGAATATATCAAAACAGACAGTACCATACATAACACACAGAATCCAGAATCACACACTGTCCGGGGTAAATCATGGACAATTAGTGGTCACGGCTGGTTAAGATAAGTGATAGCAGACGGGACAGTGGATGATCTGTAAAGTTTAGTGCTACATTTAGGGAGGCAAAACCTCCGCCCTGATGAAAGCATCCGAAACTCACCATGGAGGGGATCAGATTACCGAACCAACAAACAATCTTACTATATAATGACGAAAACTCTGTGTGTGTGTGTCTGTCTGTGTGTCTGTTCCACGTTTTTCTCCTCACTGACTTGGTCAATCCATGTGAAATTTGGCACAGTGGTAGAGGGTCATGGGAGGATGTGAATGAAGCAATATTACATCAACTGGCCAAAGGGGGGCGCTATAGCAACCGATTGAAATTGCAAACTTTGAACGGGCATATCTCATGCCCCGTATGTCGTAGTGACATGAAACTTTGCACAGAGATGCCTCTCCTCATAAGGAACAAATTTGCCTCAAGAACCCATAACTTCCGGTTACATAGATTTTCCACCATTTTTAATTTTTTGAAAAACACTTAAAATCAATCTCTTCCTAGGAAGTTTGACCGATCTGCATGAAACTCGGTGAACATAATCTAGGGACCAATATCTAAAGTTCCCTCTTGGCAAAAGTTGGAAAACTTACTAAAACTGAGCTTCTATAAGGCAATGAATATTGCGGAGGGCGTGGCTCATCACATAAAGGTGTATAACATCTCAAGGGTTTCACCGATCACCACGCAACTTTGTAGGCATATGACCACACGTAATCTGAGGGACCCCTCCATTATTGACCCCATCAAACAAAATGGGAGCGCTACAGAGCTAATTTCTTATCTAGGCCTAACTGCCATATCGATTTTTACTAAACTTGGTAGATATGTAGAACAGGGCGCCTCAAGGTGGCTGGAGAAATTTAACTCTAATTAGCAACTGGGTGGCGCTATAACAACAGAAAAATGCTTAAAAATGGCTAAAATGCGACCGATCGCTGTGGCTCCCCCTGTGGCTGAATGTTTTGTTTTGTTTTTCTAATTTTTGGTATGACTAAGTCATGGTATGGTATGCTGTACATAATCACAGAAACTGTCAGTGTGTCATTCTGTCAGTCATTCTGTCTGTCCCATGTTTTTCTACTCACTGACGTGGTCAATCTATTGTACTTTCAATAAAGCAATCATACTATCAAATTCACAAGAACTCTGTCTGAATACATTGCTCTTCTTAATGGGTTCAGTTGACTATTTAATCTGCAATTTCCTATGACCCGTATCCCAAACACACACCATGTGAAACTGTACGTGGGCAACTGTGCACTCAATGGGTATGGACTAGTGTTAAAGAAAGAAAGAACAGACTCAATAAAAGCAGAATAGGACAATTTCACGATTGTCTTATTTACTCTTCAGCTTCCTTGAAAAGAATAGGCACTGGTTTGCCTTCTTACAGATCAAAATTCAACTTGTCATCTAAGTCAGTGCCCAAATACTTGTACTGCTGCACTGCTGCCACCAGCTCCCCCTTGATCACACAAGGAGTCTTAGCAATAGAAAGAGGAGAGACATGATTTTCACAGACTCTGTCTCATGTACTTTTGTCAAAATATAGTGACAGTTTCATCAAATACGACACAAAGTTGCTTTCATAAAGTTACCAACTGTAGCTTTAAGTGAAAGCACATAATTGTTGGCGTCATAATATGCTTAAAGTACCAAAAGTAAAGCTACTCATTATGCAGAATAGCCTATTTCATAACCATAATGTAGTCTATCACTGGTTTATAATCTGTGATGCAATACCATGTGCATAACTCTAAAATGACAGCTGGTAAGGGTAGGACTAATTTTAATTACTTTTTACACCACTGAGTAGTTTACCTTTGATAATATATCATAATGTATTCGCTGATATGTTGTATTAATAATCTAAATCTCTAAAATAACTAGTAACTAAAGCTGTCAAATAAATGCAGTGGAGTAAAAAGTGCAATATTTCCCTCTGAAATATCTTGGAGTAGAAGTATAAAGTACCATGGAAACACTTAAGTAAAGTACAAGTACCTCAAAGCTGTACTTGAGTAAATGTACTCCATCACTGTGGAAATTAGGCATCTGCTTTGCATTCGGCAGCCATGGATATTCATTTATATTATTCAAACATTAGTAAACCCCATTTAAAAGCTGAAGGCCATAATTTGTGCCTTGTGGACGAGTGTTTCACATTTTCATTGGTATGGTTTACACTCGCATGGTTTGTGTTTACAGATATCGTCAGAAGATCTGTCTTTATGTTTATTGCTCTTTATGTTTACTCATTTTCAAACGTGTGCTAAATATGTTTCATGTAACTATTCTCTGCCTTGAGTCAGTGGGATGTGACGCAGTGGGAAATAAAAGACTTTCATCTCTCCTTAACACTGTGGCAGTGTGTGTCTGCTTGTGTTTAAATACAACTGTCTTTGTGTTTGAGTCATGTCTCAGTCACGGGGCAGGATACATCATCAGTGAAGAGCAAATGTTGAAGGTGGAAGCAAGAGGCAAGGAAACAAGCGACGATTGGGGAAAATGTAATTTGTTTAAAGAGCAGGGAGGAGAAAAAATAACAGAAAAGGGTTTCATGAAGCTGCAGCAAACATTTAAAGAAATACAGGGAGTAAAAAGGAAGGAAAACAGAGTTTTGATTGGGTCAATTGAAGAGTGACAGGATAAATAACAAATCAAATTTACCGGGTATCCATCCCGTCCAGCCTTGCCCTGGTGAGGTTAGAGATTAAAGCATGAAGCATTGAGACAGGTTAGAACAGAAACCAAAAAGCTGCACACAACACGCTGCATATCAACTCATCACATGACCTGCTACACTTTATCCTAAAGTATTAAATGGTGCACAGGGTCAAGATTTTACTAGATTGTTTGAATGACATGAATTACTGACTGAAGCTGGAATGAACATCGAATGATGACAATGTGTTTTAGGCATGCACTGATTTATCCCTTGCATATCGGTATCGGCTGATATTTGTCTTGTTGACTGCCATCAGTCTATCGGTAAATAAGATGACATTCACCGATGGCAGTGGCCAATGTTGCATCACTTTTGCGCAGGTTAACAAGCAGGGCTCCGGATTAACGGCATCCTGTCATCACGGGGACAATAGAAAACATGTTTGGGATGTTTTGGGAGATCTTTCCTGAGACATAGTCAATTAACTCAGAGGGAACATACTCTGAGTTAACTGAGCTGACTCTGATCAGCTGCTCTGAAACTGAAAACTTTCATCTCAGGGTTAGTCAACTCAGAGTTCAGGTTTAGACTCAGTTTGTCAAACCTGCTTTCTGAAAGCACTTTGTAGCACCTGTTGACGTCCACTTTCAAATGTGAGTCCTATCAGATGTTTGTGTGATTGAGTAATAAGACAGAAAATTGCCATTTAAATTGTTTTTGGGTTATTTTTGACAACTTCCAGCCGATGTACTTGACTCAGACAAATTATTACTCTGTGGAGTAGCAGGTGGCTCCGCATTACCACACCGTCCCTCCAACTTTATGGGCTGGAGACAAGACTTTGGGCATGTTCACGAAATGATGCATCGTTTCATGCGCACTTGGTGTAAACCAGCTGCACAGACAATTTTCTGCATAAAAAACATTCCCTCGATTTTTAAAAATGTCAGCCAGACACGATGTTTCCGTTACGATGTTTCCGGAGCAGTGTTATGGTGTGTTTTGGAGTGATAAGGTGCGCCTCTGCAAATCTGATCCACGCCACATGTGACCAAAACATTTACAATTAAAAAAATGAAAATAAAATCAGAAGAGGGTCACCCTGTCCGGGCAGGTCACAACATTTAATCTCAAATGAAGAAATTCCAGGAAGCAGCAGTTAGTACATGTCTTTGTGCTTATATCTGCTGTGTGTGTGTGTGTGAGTGTCAGCAGGATTTATAGTCCCACAGAGGAGAATTACTCGCTGCTAATAAGTCACCCTTCCCTAACCATCACACAGATAAAAGCACACACACACATGCACACACCCACAGCTCCCTAGGTGGTCCATTTACTGCTGCGTTCAGCGGATGCACATGTGTGATGAGTCTGTGACAGTTTGTGTGTCTGCGTTTTCATGTTTTACTGCTGTGAGAGAAAACCATAGTTTAAAGGATAATATATGTACCTGTGTGTGTGCGCGAGTGTGAAAGTACTTCTCTTTGTTTAAAAGCTTATTAGTTGATTTTAATACTACCTGGATGAGATGGAAATGTACTTACAGGAGGTCCTGCAACAGAAAAAGAGAAACCAGGCATTAGAAAATGAAATCTATACATCTTCAGTGACACATGAAGCACAGCATGTGTGAGTTATGGTAACCTCTGGTTTGTACAGCAATCAATTCCTCGGAACAGTGGTGCGCAACAAAAAAACTGCGCATGCAATGTGGTTTGTTAGATGATGACTGTAATTAACCAGCTAAATATGGTACAGAACAAGCTCATTAGAGCCGCCGCCAATAGACTTTGTGGTGAACCCGTTATGATAAACAGACTTCTGGATAATGGGCCATGTTTTGCATTAGGACGTGAAGTCATGTCAAGACTTTGTTTCCTAAGAAGATATGGGTGTACGAGATGGAGGACAAACAGGCAGTGGAAAGGTCGGGGGTGTGCTGGCAAACTGCGCCTCCCTTTAAAGTATGAAAAAAAAGATGTCTGTGATTTCTGCGGGGCAGACTTTCAGATCTGATTGAAATGGTCTGATGTTGAGTCTCAACAGCAAAAAGTACATTCTGCTTTTCTTACTTAGCCTAACCAAAAACAACAGTAATGATCAAAAGACTCCTCTCGTTCTCAGTGGTTTTAATGGAATATCCTTATAAAAAACATTCTCTTAAAGTCCAGGGCCGTGGGCACTAATAAAGCAGCCAAACCCCTACAAAGTGAATATATCATTTTGCCATTAAAAGATTTCATATTAGTAATTGCTTCATATTTATCTGATCTAAATTTAAAACCAATCATGACGCTGATTTATATGATTGTTAACACAATTACAGTCCGTGGCACGATTTGGAGCTCCGCCACCGCTGCAGACCTGGTACAACACAGCTCGTCAGCGTGGATACAACACTAAACATAAACTCTACAAGATGGAAAACAGGCCTCCTCTGGGGAAAGGAGGGATATTTGTGGTGTTTTGTTACTATTTAAACACAAAAAGTCCTGTTAACGTGACCAGAATCTATGTGAGCCTTGAAGTTTGCTGTCTGATTTGAGGGAAAGAGCATTTTTGGGACAAGAGGAGTAGAAAGAAGGATGAAAAAATGAAGGTGGTTGGAGCAAGAAGGTGAAAGGGAAGGAAGACGGGAGAAAGTTTGGGTGTTTATGAGGCATGGAGACCAAGTCAATCAAACTGAGCTGCGTCTAGACGCCGGGACAAGGACCTTATGGGCCAGACACTTAGGTAAACAAATACACACTAGTTAGAGGGCCACAGTAAGACCAGCTTTAGCCATTGAACTTGAGACAGGTGTGTGTGAGTGTGGAGACTGATGAGAAAGAGAATGAGAGAGAATCAAGTAAACAGAAAAGAAAACAAGACCAAACAGAAAAAGAAAATAGAGAGAATGGATGCAGGAGACGAGGCGGCAGATGCTTAACTACTCTGTCTGCTCTCTTTCCTGTTATTCAGGTTCGTGTTTCTGTTTCTTCTCTCCACTCGCATTTGTTTTTCTGAGAAAACGGGGGAAACCTCTTCTGGTCTTGTAAAAAGTTGTCCTGGAGTCATCATGGCGCAACAGTCTCTCCGTGGCACCTACCCTTGCACTATATAACTCCAACTGCAACATGAGGACGCCAAAGTAAACAACGAGAGAGACAACCTAAACAGAACCACATCGCCCTTTTCAGATACACACCATCCTGCAACAAACAGGGAACAGCAGATAAGTGTCCCATCTTTGGGGAAACCTTAATGAGGCGCCTTCCCATAATGATAATCCTCCAAAAGATGGAGTGGCTTGAAATACACACCACAGTCAAAGTTCTTGTCCTGTGATCGCCTGATGGAATCGCACAACTCAGAGGGATTTCCGCAGTCTGTCTTGGTTAGGAATTCATTGGACAATAACGAGGATATGGAAAGTTAAAGGAAAAGTTATATTGCCAATATATCATGAAAAGACCAAAACCATCCACCATCGTTGTCCAAAAGCTTTTAAAAACACATCAGTGAGCCACAGCGTTGCACTGAGTTAACCCTACATACATGGTCATGCTGCAGTCAACAGTCATAACCAATAATCAAACTTTAGCTCCTGTTTCATATCAATGCTACGAACTACAGTGTCTTACTGTTTTAGGAAATCATTGAGCCTTTTTGGAAATGGAACTATATATTTATAACCTGTATTGAAAGGTACACAACGCAAACTTTACTGAAAAAACAATGTAGAGACTCATACAAAAATGATCCCTCTCAATCATCACTAATGACCTACAAGAAGTGTGTGACGATGTACTGGACCAACCCAGTCTCATTACGAACTTTATGCCCCTCCGTGTCTTATAGCGACGCACAGGGCACCCTTTAGCATATCTATGTGACACACAGCTGAAGCACATTCTAGCACGTGGTTAATGTGAAACAGTTGCAGGTTTAGGCAACAAACTACCAAGTTAGGTTTTGAAAAAAGATGTTTGGGGTTAAAATAAGTCCATTAGTAATGTATTGTAATAGAAATACGTTATGTAAGTGATGTCAGAGCGTGATGATTGTATGCTACATCAAAACAAAATTGACTTTTGGTTTCACACAGGACACAAACTTTGGTCTCCTGGATGAAAGTTCTGTTTTGTTTGACCTCCCACCCTATGAGGACTTTCTCGCTCTTTATACCAAATCACTTGCCCTTAGTGTCAAGTATTTCCATGAATGTTTTTATGTTGGAGTAAGTTGAAAGCCTTACAAACAGCTACATAGCGTGTTTTCACACACAGAGGGGTGTGACAACGTCTGATATTTGACGCCCTGGAAATGAGAACGAGCTGATTTATCTGAAGAGACCCTGTCCTAGTCAGCAGATTTTAGAATTCGAGTACCAAACTATGGTTGAGTGTTTTAAAGTTTCACCTTCCTGTCTGTACATCCAAGAATAAACTTTCTATGATCGTGACAATGGCAAGTAAAATAGTTGGCGAGTGACAAAAGCCCTTGACCCCCAGGACTTGGAAGAAAGCGAGGAGTATTTTGGCAGATAGCTCCCATCCTCTCTTCAGCCAGTTTGAGCTTTCAAGCTCCGGGAGGCGCTGTAGAGTCCCTCTGGCACTAAAAGTGTATTTAAGAAGTCCTTCATCCTACGTGCACTCAGTATTCCTAACCCAATACATGACTGATGAGTTTTAAACCACAGACAATGAGCTGCTCTAATGTGTTAAAGTGTTTTGTAATGACCCTATTTGCTTGTCTATTTGCTTTTTGTCGGCTTCTTACAATGTTGTCTTTTGTGTTTGGTGAGCCAAAGACAAATTTCCACCCATGGTGGACAAGAAAGACATATTCTCTTCTCTCTGCCTGTATTTTTATTTTCCTTTGGTTGGGATGCCTCTGGGCGTGTAGCCCCACGGCAGACAGGTCAGGGTCAGGACTTTCTGTAAAGGTTACAACAAGCTAGTACCACCATACATGCGAGAGGAAGCTACGAAAATCATGGAACCAGTGCAAAAAAATGCAAACATAGCAACACAAAAACGCAAGCAGACAAAGTTGCTCCAAACGAGAGTGGATCTGGGGTTGGCTTTCACTTTCACTGTCAAATACTTCATGAGAGGATAGGGATGAAGAGCGATACAGAGTTAGTGTAGTTAGCTTTCATTACAACAAATGTAACGTTCCTACAACAGAAGCTTGCATAGTGTCCCTTTTTAGATTTATGTCTTAGGAACTGACAGGCTTGGGACTGAGAGTAACAACCAGGCTGTGGAGGTCCGAATGCTTCTGAGACTGACTGACATGTTGCTGGTTTTTATCTTTTTATGGGCTTTGTTGAAAATAAGAAAAGTACTGAATATCTAGTGCCTTCTCATTTAAAAGAAAAATGAAAGCACACAATAGATATAGGATCAAAAAATAAAGGCTCTTTGTGTCTACAGTTCTGGACACTAGCTGTGCCTCAGCACGTCATTGAAAATTCTATGTCAAACAATTAAACAAACAAAAAAAAAAAAAACAGCTTACAGGAATTAATTTTACATAATATTCTAGGACTGAATAACTTCAGGAAGGATCTTGGTGTGCCGAGTAGAGCAATAAAGATTACCGGTGAGCTTTCTCTTAGTCAACATCTCAGAAACAGATCTCATCTGCTAAATATCCACAATAGTGAATCACAGCCAGACTTGAGGTTTTCCCACCTGACACATATCCTGCAGAACAAATGCAGTCCTGCAGGTTTTGATAAAATCGTCCAACAATGTCGCACCTCAATTTGGTGGAGTCAGCACTCAATAAAAAACAGTTAAATGAGGGTGACTCAAACTTGTAGAACATCCGCTCTATCTGTCATGACGATCTTTTGCGTAACAAGAATTATGTCTCTTCACTGTTTTGGTTCCTCGTTGAGTGCTCTGCGGTCTGGGTGGAGAGAAAAAGCAACACAATAATGGTGGGTAAGATGTTGGCAAGGGAGAATCTCATTAGTACTACTGCAGCTGCTACCGCTCAGCGAGAACGACTGACATCTGTGCAACGTTAGTGCAACCACATGGCCGAGGTTAACGCTGTGTTGGCGCACATGGGGAGGGACAGGGAGAAGGGCCAACTGCAGCCCATCATCCACCGGCCTGACTCACGGGTCACTACTTTTACTAGCCCTCGAACTTATCCAGTCACCCAGGAGAAGACAGGGGAGAGAGATGAAGAGTCTTCCAGGAAAAGAAAAGAGGAGAAATAAACAAACAAAGCAGGTGGCGGGCGTCACTTACCAGGTTCGCCTCTTCTTCCCATTCTTCCACGCTTTCCTGGAGGCCCTGTGAAAACACACAGACAGAGCAATAAATCCCCCAAATCAGCACTGCAGGGCTGAGTAGAGAACAACCGAGCATCACTTGCTGTTTCACTGCTGGTGGTCATGTGTTGCCTGGCATTAAGTTTGTGTGAGCTGGCACAGTGCTGACATATCTGCGCTCAAGTGACCGAAGAATTCAGATGCCAGAAACAAAACAAATGATGACAAAGATCCCGTCACACTCTGAACCAAATGTACTGTAAGTTTTTATGTCAGACTGAATGAACTGGCCCTGCAGACCGATTCTCCCCTGAACCTCAGGTTCATCAGACCCAGTCCTCACTGCCTGGGCTTCATCCAGCCACCTTCCTCTGACCCTGCACCGATGCAGCTGGTACCCACCACCTTTCTGGCAAAACGCTTTCTGCTGTTGATGGAGCAGTCTGGTAAAGTTGAGAAAAATAGCAGGAGGGCTGTAGTGAAAACAGGAGATGATGTGGTCAGCGAGAGTCTCAGACCTCATACTGCTGTGAGACCATGAATCATTTCTACACCGCTGCTCATCTGTGTCAATGTCTGCCTGGAAATTTAACAGAGGTAACTTTTTGAGAGATGGTGCAATCAACTATACAAAAAAAATCACCAGTTTCTGCTCAAACTCAGAAAGATCGTCCAACTCTTTGCTGCTACTGAAAAAACTGCTACAAAAAACAGCCATATAGGCTGTTTGTGCAGACAGCTTATTATGACCCACATTTACGTTTACTGTTAGGTGGCAAAATCTAGAAGGAAGTAGTAAGTAGTGTGAAGGGTGATGTCATTTTGAGCCTTTCGAATCTTATAATCAATCAATATACAGTAAGTATATTTTTATGCTTTTAAACAGCGTTACACCAGAATGAAGTAACTCTCTGATCTTACATCATCCCTTATCAAATCCCTGTAGCCTGCGGTATAAGACGTATGCAATCTATTATACTTGTGAAATGCAATGGTATTTAAAGTCAGGATTCCAAGTCAGAACCTTGGGTAAGATCCACCCAGCTCGAGTTTGATGACATACACACCTGACGTAGTAACATGATGGTGCACATGCTGGATTGAGCAGAATGGCATTTTCATCACTTCATGTAGTGTTTGTGTCATGAAACAATGTTGACAAAACTGTAGCTGCCATTTTCATTTCCATTCATTTTTTTCAGAAGTCTTTGTGAGAATGCACATCTCTGTCTACAACAACTGCACACAACTTAATGCTGGTGGCTGTGGTTCACATTATTATGCTCGGCACCTGTTTTACACAATTGTAAGCTGTTGTATGTTATTTCAATGAGCCAAGACCAGCAAGACAGTTGACTCATTTTATGTACTGTTTCTTTTCTGTAATGGTGCTGTGGTATTTGATGTAGGTGCTATAGCAACCGATTGAAATTGCAAACTTTGAATGGGCATATCTCATGCCCTGTATGTCATAGAGACATGGAACTTTGCACAGAGATGCCTCTCCTCATGAAGAACAACAACACATTTGCCTCAGGAACCCATAACTTCCGGTTATATAGATTTTCCGGCATTTTGAATATTTGAAAAATACAGAAATTGGAAAACTTACTAAAACTGAGCTTCTATAAGGCAATGAATATTGTGGAGGGCGTGGCTCATCACATAAAGGTGTATAACATCTCAAGGGTTTCACCTATCACCTCGCAACTTTGTAGGCATATGACCACACATAATCTGAGGGGACCCCTCCATTACTGACCCCATCAAACAAAATGGGGGCGCTAGAGAGCTAATTTCTTATCTAGGCCTAACCGCCATATGGATTTTTACTAAACTTGGTAGATATGTAGAACAGGACGCCTCAAGGTGACTGGAGAAATTTAACTCTAATTGGCAACTGGGTGGCGCTATAACAACAGAAAAATGCTTAAAAATGGCTAAAATGCGACCGATCGCTGTGGCTCCCCCTGTGGACCAATGTTTTTTTTTTCTTCTAATTTTTGGTATGACTAAGTCATGGTATGGTATGCTGTACTCAATGGGTATGGACTAGTGTTATATAATTTAAGGAAAAATCCTTCAACCTTTCAGAAACTTTGGGGTCCCTCTGTAAACATTCTGCCTTCTTTAGATTTAACCAACCAGAGGGGTTTGCGACTCTTCCTGGATCAACCTTAACTTGAAATTTTATGTTGATCTTATTATATAGTCCTGATGCTGAATAACGTTTTGTTTTTCTTTCCCAACTTTGATCTTTTCTGATCCGTACATGAATTTATTAATATATGCTTGTTCGTCAAAATGTTCTATGGTTTAGTTTTAGTACATCCCCTCTGTATACATTTAAGGAATAGTTTCCATGTATTCAATTATTTGATTTGATTTGATTTGATTTTAATCTGATTTAATTTAATTTCATTTAATTTTTATTTTTTGTGTATGTGTGCGTTTTTTGTTTTTTTTGCCTCTTATATTTTTGAATAAGTATCAGTGCCCTTCTACTTTTACTCTCTCTTTTTAAAATATTATTTTCAAAAGCACAGATGGAAACCTGACACATTTTTGGAACTGCTCCTGCACTGCTATTTGAGCATCTGTTACTAAAAACAAATCTTAAATCTCAAAGTTAGTATATCCAGTTGTCTTATACATCCATGACTGCAGTGGTGACAGCTCTTTGCCCTGGCAACAGTACACATAAAAACAGCCGTCACTTTGACCATCCTGTTATGCTGATTTGAATAGGAATGTCTCGTTCTGTGTCTGTGGATAATAAATACGGAGACATACTTGTGGATAGCTGTGCATAAGTTTTCGCCTGAAGCTCTCTGTCTCAAGATCACCCTAACCTTTTCCTCTCTGTGTGGGGAAACATGCGGTCCATAGTTTGACTTGGAGCCAGCCAGCAGCCCCCTTAGGACTGGGAGTGTGTTTATGTGTGTGTGAGAATGTCAAATATATGAGACTGAGAGAAATAAACATAATGGATCTCTGATTGATTCCTTCATTAGTCTTTATGTGGGATGTTTTAGGTAGTGATTGAAGCATGACACATACATAACATCACAGAAAGACACAAACAAACACAGATTCCACACTACGGCATATTCACCCTCCCTGCTGACAATTGACCTGAGCAGTGTTGGAAGCAACCTCTCTATTAGGGCTTTCACTGGTTGTGCATACACTGTTACACTTTGACTTTATCCCACTCTTTCTTCTTCTCTCCAATCATTTAGAGCGACTGTTTCTCCAGTGAACATCACCAAGTGCATCTCAATATGCTCCCTGCAGTGACACCACCTTCAGTCTCTGGACACACATCCTCCATCTGTTGGGTCTGTTTCTCATAGCTCAGCTTGATTTAGCTACTGTGACATTTCTCGCAAACAAAGTGCTTCCAGGGAACAAAGCGCAGGATTGGTGGAGCGACCTCCTCCTCCTCCTCCTCCTTCTCCTCCTCCTCCTCCTCTCTTCTTTTTGGCCTCATTTTGCTTAACCCAACAACTGGGAGCAATAAAGTGCCAAATGAAAATAGCAGAATGTGATACTCTGTATGCACAACCACAGGACTTACATCCATCAATCTATCCATCTATCCCTCTTTCTCTCCGCTCCTCCTCTGTTGCTTATCCCCCCCAATACTCCTCCTGCAACAGGGGGAAATCTAATTCAACTGGAAAGGAGGAGAAAGGTGGGGTTTGGAGAGGAAGGAGGTAGTGAAGGTCACCTTCTTGCTTCCATGTTAGCTGAAGGCAACGTGTCTCTAGGGCATCTTCTCTGTCACTTCTTTTTCCACTTAGGATTTTTTTTTAATTCCAGGAGCAGATTTTTCTCAAATCTACTTAAATTACAATCACAAAAACTTGCAGGTGGTGTCTGTATGCAGGCAGCCGTGCATACAGACAAAAAGGAAGCTAGAGATTTGCTCTGAAACTCTAAAATATGTGCTCATAAAACTGACATACACAAACTGCATTTTAATATTTTATTAAAGAGATTCTGTCCAAAGTTTGTACTTAAGAATTATTGATTATAAACGTACAGCATTTGTTTAAAATTACGAAGTGAGTTGTTTTACTGTTTGTCAAAAATTGAATCTACTGGCTCATAATGAGACATCTAAGTTATTTGCCATCATTGAAACTGTTTACTGATCTGAGATATGATAGCAAGGATTCCCTTCGTTCGGTTCATCCTTGCACAAATGGGCACAGCTGTTGAGCCTCCTTGTCTGAGAATACTTCTCCCTTACCGCCTCCTGATCCGTCAGCGTTTCCCTGTGTTTGTCCAACTTTCGCTCCAATAAGATGGGGCACACATGCTGTGAATGTAAACAGCAACAGAAAGAGAAAAAAGACAACGGATGTGATTCACATGGTGGTGATTCATTCTCCAGCTGCCCTGCGTCTCTCCTGTTCTGGGTCAGCCCGGGTTCAGTGGCTCAGACGGGGTTCATACCCATACAGTCTCACAGTGGGCGCGATCAGATAACAAGTATCAAACAGGAAAGAACAGTTACCTGTAACTCAACCTCAGCCCATCAAATCTTCCTGTGTTAGCGATGTACATTTAAGATCATCATGCCAATCATCCCATAATATCCAACATCAGACTCGAGACTTGTCTATTGCTTGCAACAACTATCTGCCCCGTCTCCAGGCTCACAAAGAGCAAACACACCTATGAATTTAAGGAGTGCAAGTTACACTTTTCTTGCGTCTGATTGCAATTACCCATGTGACAAAGTATAAATGCTGGCATTGCGCCAAGAGCCTAGAAGGTAGAACAACGACAGAAAGAAGAAGAAGAGAAGCTGCAGGTCCTGACCGATGAGGTGCAGAGGCATTCCTTTAAAAAACAGTGGTTTCACGGTTGAATTAAATAACCAATGAGTGTAGAGGGGGGGCTAACAATTAGCCAATCATCGCTGCAGGTGGGACTAAGACCATTTTCAAGCTGTTGTCAGACATTGCAAAGTGGTGCACCGCAACCAGAGAGAAGTAATATCAACAATGG